ATTGAATTTTTTTTGGAAAAAACCCTAACCAAGGATCACTCTTCACATTAGGGAGCAAAGTTTGAAAAATGCTTGATCATAAAGAGGAAAACAAAGAAAAAAGAAAGTGAAGATCTCGAATGGTTTTAGGGGGAAAAAAAAACCTATTTGGTGCTCAGATCTTTCATGAAAAAGGATAAAAAGTGCAAATAAAAAAAATGTGAAGAAAAGAAAGAAAAAAAGAAAAAGAGAGAATTGATGAAAAATAAGGTAAAAAATCAAGCTATTTTTTATGATAATAAATGATCATTTGGTTTATAACCCTTTGAATTAATTTTAGGCCTACTTTATCCATTTATTTCATAACCCCGTACCTTAGCCTATATTACATCCCTTAAAAGTCCATTTTGATTGAATGTGAATGACCGAAGCGACGAATCATGAATTGAACTGAGACAAACTTGTAATGGGAACGTTGCAAATTTTAATTGTAATGTCATTGATGGATTAAGAGAAAATAGGAAATAAAAAGGAAAGGATATGAAAAAAAAAGAATAAAAAAAGGAAAAAAGAGGAAGAAGGAAAACTTAAACTAAAAACCCCAAGGGTTTAAGTCATAAAAAAAACTTGAAAAAATAGCCTTGATAAGGATCCCAAAAAAATAGGAATAATTTTTGAATTGATGAAAGATTAAGAATATCAATAGAATGAGCTTTTAAAAAAGAATTTAGAATTAATTTATCTAGAATTGTTTGAATATTCATTATTTTACATGTTGAGTACTCTTCCTAGCATTTATCTTGATTATTCATCCTAAAATGATTTCTTTACCTATTTATTCTTTACCAGACTTGTTTTTATAATGAAAACCCTTTCTTTGATTTTTCTTATTCTCACATTTATTTTCTCCCATAATGAATTAAGAAACGTATGATTACCATTGGCATTGAATTAAAGATGATTGAATGAATTAAATGACTATATGAAAGATACTTTATTATTTGAATGACTGGAGGCATATTAAAAGAATGTGAAAGCAAAGAATGTTTAAGATGCTGATCTTTGTGCTTACAAATGAAAGAAAACATTCCAAATGTTGAATCAATGATGACTCTATGGAGATGAATTTCTGGGTCACACTCATGATACATTTGTTTGGCCATTCCAAGAATTTGAAGAAAAACATGATGAGAGGTTGAAAATAAGACATAAAGAAAAGTCTTGAGATCCTATTAAAAGAAGGAAACTTTGGATTTGGATGATATAATGGATGAGACTACTTAATGATGCATGATAGATCATGTTGAAAATCACAAATGTTGATGAGTTAAAAAGAGTGAGAAGATAAATCAATAGTTTTGAGAACCTTTTGATTTACCACAATTGAAAAGATAAATGAATTGAATAGCATACATTGCATTCACCATATGCATCACATGCATGCATCATACTAAGAATATTGCACTTATTCATGGTATTCATCATACAAATTTGAAAAAGAAAAAAAATTTAAAGTTCGAAATTGGGTTGGAATTTTGCATTCATTGCATTCATGCAGTGTATTCATTGCATTCATCACATGTTGCATATACCATCGCATTTATTGCACTCATGCACTACATGTTTAGAAAAGAAAGATTAAAGTTAAAGTTGAGAAATTAGGATGAAATTTTAAAAAACTTCTACTTATGCATTCACTATATGCATACATTGTGTTCATTAGATTCATCCCATTTATCATGCATGTTTGAAAGAAAGAAAAATGAAAGTTTGAATCTTGAAGTTGAATTTGAGAATTGTGGAAAATCTTTTCATTCATTGCATGCATTCATTGCATATATTTGGAAAGTAGGAAGGCAAAACTAGATGAGAAAATAATTTTGACAAGAGACATTGGAAGACAATCAATGATGATTCAAATGGATGAAAAAACTCAATTTAAGGTAAGATTTTTTTAGTTTCAATGCCTCTATTAGAGAGAAGCTTTTTCGAAGGTAAGAATGATCTCATTTTATTTTTCAAAAGTTTCAAAGTCTCAGTTGTGGGGGAGCATTTTATTTTTCAAAAGTCCCATAGCATTTTATTTTCAAAAGTTTCAAAACCTCAATTATGGGGGTGCATTATATTTTTCAAAAGTTCCAAAGTTTTAGTTGTGGAAGAGCATTTTATTTTTCAAAAGTTTCAAAACCTCAGTTGTGGAAGAGTATTTTATTTTTCAAAGTTTCAAAGCCTTAGTTATGGGGGAGCATTTTATTTTTTAAAAGTTTCAAAGCCTTAGTTGTAGGGAGCATTTTATTTTTCAAAAGTTTCAAGTTGAAGCCTTGGTGAAGGAGTTTCTTTATTTTTTCAAAGTTGAAGCTTCAGTGAAAGAGTTCTTTATTTTTCAAAGTTAAAGCCTCGGTGGAGGAGTTCTTTATTTTTCAAGTTAAAGCCATGGTGGAAGAGTTCTTTATTTCTCAAAGTTGCAACCTTGGTGGAGGAGTACTTTTATTTAAAGTTTTAAGCCTCGGTTATAGGGGAGCATTTTCTTTTCGAAAAGTTCCAATGCCTCAGTTGTGGGGGAGTTTTTAACATTTTCATTTTCGACTTTTCTTGACTTGAACAAAATATGTTTTTTATCTTTGTACAATTCCTCTTTCACAAAAAATGCATAAAAAGGGACAACTGTAGATATCTCATTTTATTTGGGGACTTTTTGAAATTCATTGGACTTCAAATTTTAATTTTGATTGTAAAATTGGACCTTAATTGGAAAAGTGAATTTTGGGCCCAAAGATTAAGCCCTAAAATTTATTTGTATTTTAATATTTTAGTTTAGTTTTTGGTTTAATTTTTTTTGTCAAAAGGGTTAAAGTCAATTGGTAAAAAAAATAAAAAAGAGGTAAAAATAAAATAAAATAAGAAAACATATGGGATTTTGCATGAAAATCTTAGATTCAATTCAACTCTTGAATTTTATCTCAGATTTTAACTTTAATGATTAAATAATTTTGGAAAGACTTTGGGCTAAATCTATTGAAAAATGGAAGATTACACATAGAACAAAATTTAGAGAAAAATTTTAGATTCGGTTGAATTAATTTCTTTCAAATAAAAAACGATTCAATTTTTATATAAGAACCTTGAATCTATGATCAAAAGGGGACTTGACAACAATTAACTTCAAAATAAAAAAGAGGTCATTGAAAAGAGAGAAAATTTGGGCAATGTTTTGAATAAAAAAGGAAGTAGCAAATCAAGCAAAAAAAAAAAAATTGCAAGAAGATCTGGTTAGAGTTTTGGAAAGAAGGCTAAGATTTATAGTAAGAAACATAAGTTTTTGAAAAGTAAAAAATTACTGGAACCCATGATCTATTGAGGTAATGTTTGCTTTCATTTTTTTTTTTTTGTGATTTTTGCATAACTTTTATAATATTTAATTTGCTTATACTTATTTTTATATTTATTATATGGTATTTATTTTTTCATGAATTTCCATAACTAATATTATATTTGCATGATAATTTATTTACTTAATATATTTGTTTGCATGATTAATATATTTATTTGTGTGATTTATTAATATATTTGCATGATTATTAATATATTTATTTGTATGATTATATTTAATTTGATTACATGATTATTAATATATTTAACTGCTTTATTATTAATATATTTATTTGCATGATTATATATTTAATTGCATATTTTTCATGGTTTATATATTATTATTTACATGATTGCATGATTTATGTATTATTATTTGTATGATTATATATTTAATTACATGTTTATTTGCATGATTTTATATATAGTTAATTGTATGATTATATATTTAATTGTATGTTTATTTGCATGATTATCAATTTATTTATTTGTGTGATTGTATGATTATTAATATATTTATTTGCATGGTTATTTATTTATTATTATTATTGCATGATTGATTTATATTATTATCTGTATCATTATATATCTAATTATATGTTTATTTGCATGATTTATATTATTATTTACATGATTATATATTTAATTGCATGTTTTACATTGTTAATTGGATGATTATATATTTAATTACATGCTATATGCATGATTATTAATTTATTTATTTGTGTACTTGCATGATTATTAATATATTTATTTGCATGGTTATTTACTTATTATTATTGTTGCATGATTTTATATTTATTGCATGATATGATATTGTTTGATTAATATTATATTTAAATGATATTTGATTGCATGTTTCTATATTTATTGTGTGCATAATTACATGATTATATTTAATTACTAATATATTTGTATGATTATATTTGATTTGCATGATATTATATATTTATATTATTGTTATTATTGCATGATAATTAATATATTGCATGATATTTTTACATGAATATTTTAATATGATCTAGACATGATATTATTACATGATATTTGGTATGATTTATAATATTTTTTCATGATAATTTTTGCATAGTATGATTTAATATTTATTATATAATTGCATGATTACTTGATATTTTGATATAATTTTTGTATCACCATGTTTTATAAATAAATAAAATGATTGGAATTGATTTTGATTTGCGTGATAAAATCATATTTAATTAAGGTTTAGATAAGATAACATATAATTAATTTGGTACCAATTTTAAGCGTAAAAGGGTGCTAATACATTCTCTGTACATAATCTACTCTTAAACTTTAGTTCTAATGATGTAGACCAAAACGTATTTTTTTAGGAACCCTTGGCTTAAACTTAAGATAAGATAGATTCATACAGGTGATCAATCGTACCTAAATAAAATAAATTAATGATGACTCCATAATTTTTGTGTCTAATGAATAAATTTTCTCGACCTTAATGTTATGACAGATATGTCTAGTGGTTTACAGGAGTAGCTGGAGGACGAGCTTGAACACAGGGTAACATGGGAGATAAAACCAGAGAGAAAAAAGACAAGTGTTATCAAAAAAGACCTTGGATAGTCCCCTGCCATTGCCAATAAGTTCAAACAGTGATATAACAGATTTGGTGATACAAATTAAGAGGTACTAGTCAAGCATATATACTTATACTGCCATGGCACTCAAAAATAACAAATGTTTTTAAGTGTACAAAAGAAGACACACGATGAGTTTCCTGGAAACTTGCTATCTCCATCTCACCACAAATATGACAGCTAAAGATGAAGATTTGTTTGCTAGCTACCTGGCGATGGGAACCATATCTGAGTCCACGTTCGCGGTGGGCATTTCAACTGATGTGCCTGATGTTGTCATGTTGTTATGAATTCGCTGAGTTCTCTCAAGGGCCATCTCAATAGCCATGCATTCCTTGAGTTCTGTTAAAACGTAACTAATATCAGGCCTTTGGATTGAAGTTGGTTGTGCACATGACATGGCTATCTCCACGATTTTCCAGGCAGCATTGACATCGAATTCACCTTGCAACCTAGGATCAATAATGGTTCGAATATCTCCCTTTTCGACTATTGGACTCAACCATTGAAGTATGTGAATGCTGCGCTCGTGACTTCTTATTATTGCAGGCTGGCCTGTGATTAGCTCAACTAGAATAATCCCAAAGCTGTAAACATCGCTCTTCTTGTTTAAGTTTCCTGAAACTTGAAATCTACATGGAAAACAAAAAATGAATTTTGTCAATAGGACTTCAGAAAAAATTAGATTCAAGGAACTCTCATGAACCAGCCCTATTTCGTTAAGTTATAGACAATTACTCAGGATCAAGATATCCAAGTGTGCCAGCAGGGCAAGTCGATATATGAGATGCATTTTCGGTTATGAAAAGTTTAGATAGCCCAAAATCAGCTATCTTCGCTTGCTTGCTTTCAGTCAATAGGATGTTGGCAGATTTCAAATCTCTATGGACTATAGGCGGCTTGCAACCATTATGTAGATACTCCAATCCTGCAACTCCAGCAAGACATCAGTTAACATCTGATTTTAAGGGTAGGGAAGGATTTTAAAAATCAAAGGCATTAAATAAAAGACATTGTCAAGGGTTGTGGACCATGTGCAGCATCAATCGCAATTTGAAGTCTTTCTTTCCATTTTAAAACATTTCTGTTTGTCTCTGCAAGCCAAAAGAAGCATTAAAATCATCTCTTTAGTTGGGTTTACCAAAAGGGAAACAGACAGTAGACAAAAAAAAAAAAAAACGAAAAAACTTTGCAGAAAAAACTGTTTAAGATATAGCGCTATAGTTTATCTAAAAACAAGAACTTTTTGAAAATGATATTGTTCATACCAGATAAATACCGTCTTAAGTTTCCATTTACCACGTACTCATAAATCAGCGCCATGTTGCCACTCTCATCACAGTAACCAATGAGAGATACAAGATTTCTATGATGAACAATCATCAAAAGCTGTGCCTGCAATATTTTTAAATGGTGTTTCCGAATGAATTTATCATCACAATTATGTATCATATATTATAAGTAATGTTAATGCTAATTTCAACATGGGATAAAACTTTGGCTGCATTTCTCTGACCTCTGCTCGAAATTCCTTATATCCTTGCTTTGATGATGGCGAGAGTAATTTGACAGCAATTGGAGTGTTATCATTCAGAGTACCAAGATAAACTTTTCCAAACCCTCCCTCTCCAACAACGGTTGTGAAGTTACCAGTAATTTTAACGATCTGAGAGTAAGTAAAGGGTCGATTCTTTGATTCAAATGACCCATCCTTCGTTGACTTGATCAGAGGCTCTGCAACAACAATGAAATTATAAGAGATCTGCTCTCATAGATAGTTTTTCAATTGAAATTCTCTTACAAAATAACTACAGAATGATGGATTTCTTTATGGGTGTGTGTTCATAACTGCGTACCACACCAATGCCAGAAAGCTTAAAACAACAAATTGCTAAAGCATGCCCACACCATTGAAGCATGGATGTCTACACTCAACACTCTCCGGTTTAAAAGTGAAATGGATTGAATTCAAACCACATCCAACGCACATGCAGTATTTCTACGGTAATCAGGTCCGGTATATGCTATAAACCAGAGGAATTACAAACTTCGACAATTTCAAGGCAAAAACAAAAAATCTACACGAAAGAAAGAAAGTACCTCGTTGTCTTCTCCTTTTAATTCTGCCAAATGCAATTAGAATGCTCAAGAAGATGAGGACCAAAGCAGATGCAACGGATACAACAACTGGAACAGCAAAGTTCTTCTTTTCTTTACGATGACATGGATCTATTTGGCACAAATCTGGATTTTCAGCCAAACTGGCATGAAATAGAATAGACAAATGTCGAAATGCATCAATTGAAATGTCACAAATTATTGCATATAGGATCAAAATTCGTTGAGAAGTTTGCAATATGATGTTATCTTGCCCTCATTTTGCAACCCTGATATAATGATAACTCTCATATAGTTTCTGTTAAAATATACCAGACTAATTTATCCGAAAATGACTTATCATTTTGTCATAGGAAAATCAATCAAAGGAACATGGGAATCAAAATTAGAAAAGGGAAATAAATTTTAAATAAAAATAAGACTAGCGTGAATCGTTAGAGAGTGTATACTCTATAGAATTTTACGAACCTCAGAACCAGTAATCCTTTATCAGACTTGTCCTTGAGCGATTGGGGAACTGGACCTGAGAGCCTGTTTCCAGATAAATTTCTACACATAAAAGTGATATATTAATCTTTTGTTTTCATTGCTGAGTATTGCTATCTTATGAATGCGCATAATAAACAATGAGGTAAACTTTTATATCATAGATGAAAAGTTAGAATCCTGAAATTAGTGTGCATTAACTTACAGGACTTTCAAAGTTGGCAGTTGTGCTAAAATTTCTGGCACTGGCCCCTTTAATTCATTGTATGATAAGTCACTGATAAAAAAAAGAAATTGAGTAAATATTTTGGGTGAAAATTAAATAAAGTCATAAAAGGAAGTAATCCTCTTTCTTGTCACGGACAGGGTTGCGTGTACTGGAAACAGAACCTACCGCTTTGTAACTAGTGTCTAGCAGCTGCATAAAAGAGCCGCCCAACGAGGAAAGTTGGGGTATGGTGACTTTGAATTGAAAGAAACTCAGGTTCTTTGAGATTTAGATCATTTCTGGTTTGATACCCGGCTTATTTGGATTCTGAGTCCTTTTGAATTCAAATTATTGAGGTTTAGAGTCAAATCTATTTAAATTCGGATTGTTCTAATTTTTAGTCATTTCAGGTTTGGATTAATTTGGGTTTGGGGTGGGGGATTTTGATGGTTGAACCTTTTTTTTTTAATCAAATAGGGTATTCAGGTTAGGCTGGGTTTGAATTCGGGTAGATTTTTTGGGTTCGGATAAGTCCGGCCAACTATAAGTGCTGATATATACACTTGTGCAAAAGAAATGTTTGGACAACTACTGTCGAGGAGTGACTTTTTCTCTATAGCAACTTTAAAAGTTAAAAGGTTAATACTCACAGGGACTCTATTGCCTCCAGATCAGAGAATGACGAAGATATCTCCCCTGTTAATTTACTTGCACTTAGGTTCCTGCAAGGAATATAGGAATAAGGAGAAAGTTATTTACCCTGATCATAAATACAAATATTGTATTGGATTCTAATACATGATTCCTACAAAGAATTTTTATTCGAAAAAAAAATTGTAGCAATGGATATCCAACACATATATGGATGATTTCAAAGTGCACTCACAGTGAGATGATCCTTGGAGTACTGTTGAATCTGCAGGTTATACCGCTCCAGGTATGTTCTTTGGGGAGGCATGGATCTCCTTGCCAGTCATTTCTGTTTATGTTGTATGTTTGCTTGACGGCCATGATAGCATCACCTAAATGGTCAATTTTAAAACGAACATGGTTAAGAATTGAATTTAGCTAACAAGTAGGAACCCTATGAAAATAACACTAAACCAACATTTCGATATCTGGAAAATGTAGAATATAGATTGAAAAAGCAAGAAAAAAAAGAATGATTGAGAAAATGAAACGAAAATTAATGAAAAAGTACCGTCTGATTGGTCAGTTGGTGAAAATGGAAGAGGAAGAACTCGGTAATACTCAAGGGCGTTGAGTATGGGAGGAAGGTCGGATTCTTCTGTTGCATCAATAGTAAAGTTAATAACTCCTTGAATTAGCAAATCCTGGAAGTTAATCGAGAATGGCCTTAAGTACTGAAGGGTAATGAGTCTACTCTTGAAACCATTCAATGTGATGGTGAATTGTCTAAGTCGATCTTGTGCACTCTCTTCAATCTCAGCAAAGTGAAAGAAGACAAGATATTGACTAGTGGGGAAACGAGATGATTGGTAAAAATAATTCAGGGATCTGGAGCCATTGACTGGCCGGACAGCAGTTCTCAAGACCTCAGCAGGTACTTTGTATGAATCATTACCGGGATGATCGGTACTCAATGAGGTATTTATTGGAACAGAACTAGGAAACTGGCCGGATAGCCAGATGCGGTCATAACCATCGTCCTTGTACCTATTGGGGAGAAAGACAATCGAATGAGTAGAAGATTTTACCATACAAATATGGTAAGAGCAAAAATGAAGCATGCACTCATCATGAACAGAAATATGACAACATCTCAGTCTCATGAACAACTATTAACAGTATTCAGAATATATAATAAAAATAACAAACCCAGAAATTAATTAATGTTACCTTAAAGAGTCATTATTAGATGTACCCAGGTCAATAACCCCGATGTTTTTTAGTGCTGCTCCAGAGTTGGTTCTATTATAAGCTGAATTATTTGAAAACCGTAATTCCAATGCCGAAATGAAAGGAATTCCAGAGCCAGTGTTTACCAGACATACATATTCGGTATCAGCTGTGAAGAAGTGAATAATTTCGAGGAAGAGCATGTACCATACGCTTTGCAATTTCACGGTGTCCCAGTAATTAACCCCCACATATACGTCAAATTCTGGTATTTCATTTTTGTCATCATAATTTCCATATAAAAAAGAAGCTCTAATTCGATAGTTGTTATTTTTGCCCTGTTTAGGCTTCAAAGTGTAACAGTTCTTGTTTCCATCGGGAAAACTTCTCAGGCTCCTGTACTCCTTCCAATACTGAATGTAATAGTTGTTATTAATGGCACTGGGTGATACGTCATGGTTTTCACCAGTGTTAATGAAATCTTTGTCGGTGTAGTAGAATATACCGGTTTCAACGTTAAGGTAGTCTTCTTCCGCTCCACAATCGATGCTTATGAAACCTAAATTACCCACCATTGTTTCGCAGTAAAAACTCAAAGCATTAAATGGGTCATCAAAATTCAAAAGATTCAATATAATTATTACAAAGAAATTGAGTTTTGTGTTGTTTAATGCAATCAAATACCTAAACAGCATGAGTAATTGAGTTTAAAGAGTTGTAGAGCTGCCTTATCATCCGTCTCACCGGGGGTGGGTGTTGGAGGAGGCCAGAGATGAGGAGTTGAGTGTGAATTTTATTAAATTGGTTGAAATTGGTGCATGATTCTAAGACTTGCAAAATGGGTGGTGGCTGCTAATGTTATTGGTGGTTTAAATGTCTTTATTATATAAAATTTTATTTTTTATTTATTTTTTTTACATATTAGCAGTCAGCTTTCAATATTTAGCAATCGCTTCGTTATGATCATAGATCTAAAATATAAGATCGACCAGTGCAATAAGTAATTTGCAGTTTAGAGATGACGGAATGTATAAATTTTATCAAATTAAAAAATAACACGTTAATTATAATTTTTTTAAAATTATACCTTAACTGTTATCACCTGTTAACATTTTCCTCAAATTAATATTGATATATCTTCATATTAATATTTGCGAATATGAAAGGACTGTGGTAGATATTTGGTTTATTTCCATCATAAAAATTAAAAATTAGTACAATCTTATATATATATATATATATATTAACTTTAGATAAAGATATTGTGTCGTTCAACAACTCGGATTTGTCAATAAAAGTTGTTGACTTGATATGGATATCATATTACTTTTATTCAATAAAAGTGATTCAATTAATGGAATTAAATTTTTTTTTATCTACACAACATATAAATCTCATCATGATTAACTAATTATAATTAAAAATTATAATAAAAATACATCAAATGGAAATTTAAAAATAAAATGAATAAATATGTTTATTTTCTTTAATTAAAAAGTAGAATAAAAGTTATTTAAAAAATTTTAAAAATATAATGTATAAAGATGTTTATTTTCATCAATAAAAAATGTATTAATAGTCGTACTTAGGTATAGATTATATATACATATAGAGAGTGAAACTAATTTTAAATATTATGATTATGGTAAGATGTTAAATATAAAATTAGTTGCAATGAAAATTTATTTTAATTTTAATATATTTAATCAACTAGTTCTAAGTTCATATCTTTTGCAAGGAAATACAAAATTAATTAATAATTACACTTATCAATTAATATTCAAGGTTTCTAATTTTTTACTTTTTAAAAAAATCTAATGCTTACGATATAAACTAAAAAATAACTTGCATGTTGAATAAGAAAATGAAATGAACAAAAAGGATTTTGAGGGAAAAAAAATAAAAGAAAACCCTCTTTCTTAGGTTTATAATGAAATCAAACAAATAAGGTGTTTAAACTAATGATTTAACAAAATTAAAAAAGTTTATGTTAATTTTAAATCAACAATATTATCAAACTCCTCCTAAAAGGAAAGTTGTAATAAATTGAAACTCACATTCCCAATAATATTCAAGAACAACAAGGGAAAAGGAATATGGTGGTCCTGCTCCAAAAAATTTTGTTTAGTTCTGCTGCTATAACATTGGTCAATTTCGCACTAGAGTTGAGATTATACTAAAAGCAAGCTGGATGTGTTAAACTCTATAAACATGAAGAATTACAAAAATAAGAATTAAGTTGGTTGAGAGAAAAATTAACTTGAAGAAGATTTATATATGCATGCAATGCAACATACCCGGATGATTTTGATCGGTGGCCAACGTTCTTCTTCCGACGCTGGCCTCAGTTAGTATCAGAGTATCCCAAGAAGTCGTAATCCCGAAAATGAAAATGAAGAGTGGTAGTAGATTATTTAGCCCGACAATCAATTTGTGACTACCCACCATGCTGGTCTAATTTCCTTAAGAAGAATTATGTATGGACAGAGTTGTTGTTTAGATTGAGACATTGGTCAGTTGAAGTGGCATTTTATAAGTGCTGGAACTTATTTTGCACTCAAACCGACGACTTGTAAGGTTTTCGGAGTAAGGAGAACGCAAAGGACTTTTCTTTTGGGTTAGAGTTTTGTGAAAGGAGTTGTATATATATTATTACTGTTCATATTAACTTATAAAATATTATTTTTTTAATTCATTTGGATTTACAATTTTATTTTATAAAACATATCCCATAAATTAAATGTATTACGAACATTTATATCTTAAAATTAATTTTAATACATAATTAATATGAAATTTATTATTTTTTTTAAGATCATGACAACATGGATGTGCATAACTAATAACCACATGGTCATAACCTGCCATTTTGACTGGTTTCGTTCCTTAATTTTATGTCTTAATTTTCTCCTCGTTAGGTTACTATCTCTTTCAAATATATGAATCCAATCTTCCATTGTTTATTAAGGTCTATATATTTGAGTCAAGCTAAAAGGAAGCTACTGAGTTTGTTCCAAAGGCTGTCCTTCCATATACGCGAAGACTTGATACAGAAGGCTGAGACTTCCATATAAAATTAATTTTAATACATAATTAATATGAAATTTATTATTTTTTTTAAGCTCATGACAACATGGATGTGCATAACTAATAACCACATGGTCATAACCTGCCATTTTGACTGGTTTCGTTCCTTAATTTTATGTCTTAATTTTCTCCTCGTTAGGTTACTATCTCTTTCAAATATATGAATCCAATCTTCCATTGTTTATTAAGGTCTATATATTTGAGTCAAGCTAAAAGGAAGCTACTGAGTTTGTTCCAAAGGCTGTCCTTCCATATACGGCGAAGACTTGATACAGAAGGCTGAGACTTCCATATATGGAGTAAGTCAACGAAGACTTCCAAGTCGAATGTTGAAACTATCAAAAGAAAGGACCTAATACTGTACAAGCCGAGAAGTAACCCCTAGTCCAGGGAAAAGAATTTGTAAGAAAGGACTGTCGGTTGGCAGAAACGTCCAAATATATCGAAATTGATTGTAATGCGTATCGTCTTCCAAAGAAACTAGTCTTGATGTGATATGCAGAAATATATAGTTTGGGGACTTTGTGTGCCTTACAGCCTTGTTATAGCTAGGTTCATGTAACAAGCTAATTAGATGAATGGAAAAAAACTAAAGCACTTAAATATTATCCTTCTTATTTCTCTTGTAAGTTGGTAATTAATTAAGGGTTTTCATTTGTAATATTATTATCTGTTTTGAAGAGATAATAATGGAATATATATCAACACTCCTATATGCTAATGAAATAATAAATAAAAGACAAAGATGGTAAAAATTTATTTAGACTTTTTGATTGAAACTTCTAAATCATGATAACGCAAGTGATTTAATACGAAATTTTATATTTCGTTTAATTATTCAAAGAAATTGTCATATTATAAGAAGCCACTAATACAATGTAGAGACAAAAGTATGTAGTCAAATATAGCAAATAGCATTACTTTGGCAACAAATAATTAAATGTAGACTTTTTAAAAAAATAATAATGTAGATGATATAAAAAAGAATTATTTATTTTTCACATAACAAAAACTAGCGACGTAATGAAAAATTTAACTAAATATTTATTTTCCATTCAAATAATGATAAACTTGTATAAAAATGGGGATAGAAAGATAAACTTGCAAAAAGAAAAAAGTAAAATGTTAAATTTGAAATCTTGATTTAATAGAGTAGTAAATTTGACTGATTGGATTTTGAAGCGCAACTGTTGAATATGATTTTGTATTGGATGAGGCCTATTTTTGGTTTAAATGGGCAAAACTTGACTGATCCAAGACCCACGTAACCGATGCTTCATCCATTCATACAGATATCAATTCCAAAATTAACAAAACGTTTGAGAATTTGCATGCTGATCTCGTAGGTTTACTGCTAAAGGATGTTTCGGGATAATATATATTTTGCCATTGTTGAGTTGTTGTGGCTTTCTTCTTTTGAATTGATCAAAAAATAAATTAAAAAAAAAAAAAAACTAGAAGGAAGCTACATACAAAATTTAGGCGATAATAATAGTAAATTTTAGGCCCGCTTGATTGTGATAGAGTATGGCATATATATATATATATATAATTTAAGCAAGACTTTGGATTCCAAATTTTTTCATTTCGAATTCAAAATCTTCAATTCGGAAATCAACCTTAGTAGCATTGAATTAACAATTCATTCTATATTTGAGGAAGTCCCTAAGCAACAAGCGAAAACACATTGAAATCACGTCCCAATGGGATGAAAAAAGTGGGCATCATTTTCAATTATTTAGCTACTAATTAGGTGTCTAAAGCAACTAAATTTTAGTATCTCAAGTCCGTTAACGAGTTTTAATTTTTTGTTTAAGTTCTCTCAAAATTTATATGGATTTTCAGATTTAATTGAATAGTTTGGCCGTTGAACAAGTGTAAATAAGATGTTAAATATAAAATTAGTTGCAATGAAAATTTATTTTAATTTTAATATATTTAATTAACTAATTCTAAGTTCATACCTTTTGCAAGGAAATATAAAATTAATTAATAATTACAATTATTCATTAATATTCAAGGTTTTTACTTTTTAATTTTTTACAAAATCTAAGGCTTATGATAAACTAAAAATAATTTGCATGTCAACTAGGCAAATGATATGAACAAAAAGGGTTTTGAGAAAAAAAAAAACTTCTTTCTTAGGTTTAAGATGAAATCAAACAAAAAAGCTGTTTAAACTAATGATTTGACAAAATTAATAAAGTTTATGTGAATGTTAAATCAACAATATTATCAAACTCCTCCTAAAAGGAAAGTTATAATAAATTGAAATCCACATTCCCAATAATATTCAAGAAAAACAAGAAGGGAAAGAGAATTTGGTGGTCATGCTCCAAAAACTTTTGTTAGTTGTGTTTGTTGGTAATTTAAAAAGTGGTGTATCCCACATTGAATAAAAAGATCATTTGTATATAACTTAAAAGAAATTATTTATGTTATTTAAGTAATTAAGTTTAGTGTTGGAATGAAGCAAGTCATATGAGTTTACTAGGAATTTTCCTAATGGTCTAAGACAATTTTAAAAGCAATTAATATAAGTGTTGAGGTGGACCAAGTCATATAGGTTTGTTTAATAAATATATTTATTTTTTTATTTAAATTTTTTACTTTTTTAAATTTTAAAATATTAATAAAATATATTTTTTATATCTAAATAAATATTTTTGAATAGAAAAACATAACCGTCTAAATAAGTTTGTTTGAATAGAAAAACATGATTATCTAAATAACTTTGTTTGAATAGAAAAATATAATTATACAAATTATCATGACTTTTTGAATAAAAATTTTGTGATTGTTTGTTTATTAAAAATAGTTCTTTTTACTTGACCAATTTCATTAATTCTAATTTGGAAAGTTTTTAGATTTTATTGTATTTTATAAGCATAATTTGTTGGGCCTGAAATAAACCCACAACAATAAACAATAATCAACAATTAAAACGTAGAAAAATAAAGTACACCAAAATTTACATGAAAAACCCTTCAGTGTAGAAGAACAAAATCATAAACCACCAAAAAAATCTTCACTATCAAATAATGGATATACAAAGTTTTTTTCTAGCTAAAACTAAATCTAATCAATAACTAGAGAGATAATTGGAGAAATTTCACCAAAATAGGTGACTAAAAAATACACCATAGATTTGTTCCTAAAGAGTTTCAAACCCAATTTTTACTGTTCAAAATATAAAACACTGAATTATGAACCTGTTGACAAAATTTTAGCTCAATCAAACCATGATCAACTTACATTCAACTAACTCTCCCTTTTTTCTATCTTTTCTATCTTTTTAGTTCCTTTTTCCCTTTTCGGTGCCACGCTTTTTCACACCTTAAAGTAGCCTCTATGTTCTTTTAATATGTAGGGCTCTTTATTTTTGTTAAAACAAAATGCTTTGGGCCTTTTAATTGGTAGATACAATGGGGCTGGATCTCACATTCTTAACAATCTCCCCCCAAGCCCCATTAGGAGGAGATTCATCACTATAGTAGTTTTATTTAAAACTTACGTTGGCTAAGTAACCTGTTTCGACTAAGTTACTATAGACCTCAAACTTTTTTTTGAAAAGTATCTTGATCAATATATCTGCTACATTCTTATCAGTATAGACTTTATTCAACTACATCTACTATTTTTTGATCACCAGATGCAGCCAGTGATATCTAATATTAATGTGCTTCATTCTAGTATGGTACATGGCATTCACTCAAATCTAAAGCTGTAATACCCCAGCCCAAATAATAATTGGGCTAGACTAATACTAAAGCCCATCAGTTTATTAAGATATTATTTAGTAAAAGAAAAAAAGGCTGAAGTATTAGATGAAAGAAAACCTAACTATCATGAATCAGAAAGGAAATAGAATTCTTCTTCCTCATCTTCCTTAAGGTTAGAGAATATGAAAAATCAAGTTGGAGATTCACAATCAGAGGCTACAATCAAGTTAATCCCTTAAAGGTGAGTACATGCCCTCTTTTTATTTGAAAAGAAATATCAAGTTGATTGCTATTATTTGGAGTTGAAGTTTTGAGAGAAAAACCAAGAAAAATCATGAAATCCTTCATTAATCTTGATGATCTATTTGGATAAATTACTGGGCTTTTTTTATTTCATGTTCTTAAGATTTATTGATGATTATTGAATGGAGTTTGAAGGTTGAAAGTAAGGATTTGAGTTTTTAAAGATTGAAGGAGAAATTCTATTTTTGGATGAGATGTTGTGATCTGTAATAATGAATTAAAATAGAATTTTGTATTAATGGATAGATTATTTATGAGATTATTATATATCATTGGAAAGCATGTTGAATCTAGTTTCTAATGAAATAAACGAAAGTCAAATCCAAGTTTTCTATGAAGAGTTGTGTAATTTTAACTTAAGGATATGCAGGCTGTAAGACAACAGCATCAGGGTTGAATTACAAA